TAATCTTATTGTTATAATCACCCTTTAGAAGGCAGCATAGTTATGGACAACAAGCTTCAGAATAAAATGCTGTATAAGTTCTACCATTTACAAGCTGTGTGATCTTGGGAAAATTATTCAAAAACTCTGTGCCTCAGTTCCACACTTGTAAAGTACCAATTTCATTAACACTGATGCTCACCATAAAGTGCTAAGCACTTTGCCTAACTCAACATATTTCAGCTAGTAGTTGTTGAGATTCTTACATTCTCTACAACCCTTGCTACTGCAGAACAGTAGCATCAGCATCACCTGGGAACTTACTAGACATCTCAGGCCCTACTCCAACCTTAAGGAGTCCTAGTAGTGTAGTGGGTTATGAGCTAGGCTGCTAATCACAAGGTCAGCAGTTCGAATCTACCAAGGGAGAAAGATGAGGTTTTCCACTCCTGTAAAGATTTATAGCCGCAGAAGCCCTATACAAGATCACTATAAGTCAGAACCGATTCCATAGCACACAACCACAACTACAAATTTGCTGAACCAGAACCTGAATTTTGATAAACTCCTGAGTGATTAGTATGCACATTAAAGCTTAAGCACTACTCTACAACACCCAGTATGGACATGTGTTTAATGGGATTAATAAAAAAATCATTTATTTAATATTCAGCCCTGGCAGGCATGTTTTAAAAACCAATCTCATGCAGCTACCCTGTCATTTTCTGGTGCTAATGTGTTTTCCCAGGTTAAGTTGCCCCATTGGAAGCATGCAGTGGCACTGTGTTCTTAACAATTATGTTTATTATTTTAACATAATGTTTTACAAGTTATATATACTAGACACCAGTTTAAAAGGTAGTCACACTGGCTCTCTCTCTTTCCTTCCGACCTCCAATAAAGCCTTACACGTGGGTGTTTGTGTTCCAGATCATTCCATCTCACATTTATGGTGCTGAAACCCGGGAGGGACTTTGCCAAGACCCACGACAATCCCCAGCTCTTGGGATGATCCACTTCCTGGCTGTCCCTCCTGAACCTGCCGATCAAACACCCACCTAGGAGCCCTCATCCATTGCCATTGCTGACTTTTACAGCCACACACCTGTCAACAATTTCAGGCTTCTAGGACTGGCCACAGAGGACAGAAGGTGCCCAGAATCGCCGGCCCCCACGGAAATAACTCAAAGCAAACCCAGGGTAATGGTCCATGTTTCAGGACTGACCAAGCTCAAACTTACCCGCATCCCAGAGGAATAATTGAGTGACTCCTGCCTAGTAAACTGCTTTTCCTGCTTCCTCAACCAGGTGGGCCAGGACCTCCAGCGGTTCTTTCCTGACCTATTCTGGTTCTCCAGGGCACTCTGTCTGACTTCTCACCAGACGAAAGCTCTCGGCTGACAGTCTTTCTCCTCTGTTGCTAGCCCTACCTCCACATACCCCCTTAGACATACCTCCATGTCAACTTGCCACCCGGCCTTCCATTCTCGAATGGCCTCGCCATTCTCGAATACTCTTTGCCTTATCTTTCTCCTCATAATGGGACTTATCATCATCCCAGTATGCTCTCCATACTCTTTATATCAACCTTGATGATCAGATTGTGCCTTAGCTAAAATGGCAAAACATGCTCAACCCCTCATACAGCCACGGACTGCTTCAGTGTCCTGATCTTTATGTACTCTGCTTGCTATCTGGGCCAAACACCTGTCATCAAGCAGTTTTGCGGTATCAGAGTATGGTATCTATCCAAACTCTCTAACTGCATGGCTTCCAAATCCACAGCTTGCAAAAGGTGGTTCAACAAGCCTGTCTGCTGGACATATCAAACCCAAATAGGGATGTCAGATGGGGGTTGTAGGGGTGGCAGATGCAGCAAGGAAAAAGATCAGTGTAGAAGCTGCAAAGAACCTCAAATAACGGCTAGACCCAGGATATAAAGGATTACGAACAAGGCTAGATCCTGACAGCATCCGCCAACCCCACCACAGCTAATCACTGAAATAGGAACCATATTCAATAAAACGTCCTGCTGGGTTTGTTTGCCCTATAGGGATCTGGGGTACTCCAGCCGTTCCCACCGACCCAGTCCCTAAATCTTATCGTAATATAACCACCATACAGTACACAGGACCTCTCCTCACAGAGATGGGCCTCAGTAATTCCACCAACCTCACCTGCATTCATTACCACAACATCATTAACAGACACCCTCCCTGCCTTACAAAATCAAGTTAACTCACTAGACTCCAAAACCGTCGTGGTTTAGACCTCCTCATAGCCGAGAAAGGAGGAATATGCCAGACCCTAGGTGAGGAATGCTATTATTTTGTCAATGTATCTGACATAGTCCTCAGCAAGGTAAAAGAATAGAATTCGCACTAGGCAATCAGAAACAGCCAACTACGGTTGTCCCCTAATATCCTCCTGGTGGTCTTGGCGCCTCCCCTTCCTAGGGCCATTAACTATAGTCCTCCTGATACCGTTATTTGGCCCCTGCCTGTTTTGCTGTCTTCAAAATTTTCTTCAGGAATGCATGAGAGCCTTCACAAACTAGACGGTGGGCGAATTCCTCATGGCAGGATACCAACCACTGCCAAGCAACAGGACCAGCCAGCCAGAAGAACACGCCAGGTACATAGTTCCCTCCTCTTTGCCCCCTTCCAGCAGGAAGCTGCTCCAGAAGAAATGACCACCGCCCCTGCGCCCATAACAACAAAAGGCTGGAATGATAGAATCTCTCAGCCACAAGCATTATAAAATGGCTGCTTACCGCGTTTTCGCTCTCCCTACCGGAACTTCTCTTCCTACCGGAACTTCCTCTCTCCCTACCTGCACGTCTTCCCAGTCAACCTATCACCTACCTCCACTAATCTCAACCCCTCCCTCCTCTTTGACCAGTATAAAAATCCTTCCCCCGGCATTTTCTCTCGCTCTCTCTTTCCTTCCGACCTCCAATAAAGCCTTACATGTGGGTTAAAAAAAAAGGGTCATCAGACTGTTTTCCCATAATCTTATCTTTATAAATGGCAAAGTTACGGCCAAACACTGACGGTGCAAATTACCCAAACAGTAAGGTAAGTGTAGGCCTACTTGTGCTTGCTTACTAGTCTGTAAACATATGTGAAACTGTTCAGTACAGATTAGTAAACAAGCTCAAGTAACAAGCCTGTGCTTACTGGGTACTCAGTCCCTACAGAGACTGAATTTGAAAAGAAGGGTTGAGGGGTTAGGAGACAGAGGCCAGCAATAACTAGAATCAGTCTTTGATGTAGAGAAAAAAATGTGTAATTTTTTCACCACAGATTACTGATGAAGATAAAAGACTGGTCTTTAGTATGAGCTGCACCTCAATGTTAATAAAAATCCTCACAACTGGACTGAGAAATCATGATATATGGAGAAAAGACAAGTTGTTCAAGACTTCATTTTGCTTGTATTCACAATCAACACTTATGGTGAAAGCAGCAATTAAGAACTCACACAACATATTGCATTAGGCAAATCTGCTGCACAAGATCTCTTTCAAGTGCTCAAGAGCAAGGATGTCAGTTTGAGGGCTAAGGTGTGTCGGACCCAAGCCATGGTATTTTCAATATGCATGTGAAAGTTGGACAGTGAATAAGGAAGATGGTAAAGAACTTGAGTTATGGTCTTAGAGGAGAATATTAAAAGTGCCACGGACTGCCAGAAAAACAAACAGATCTGTGTCAGAACTACAGCAAGAATGCGTCTTAGAAGTCAGGATGGCGAAACTTTGCTAGTCTCTCATACTTGGGACATGCTATCAGGAGGGACCAGTCCTTGGAGAAAGGCATTATGCTTGCTAAAGTGCAGTGTCAGTGAAAATAAGAGGAAGACCCCCAAGGAGATGAATTGACACAGTATAAGCAGCAATGGGATCAGGGTTAACAACTATGAGGATGGCGCAGGGCTTTTTTCTGTTGTTTATACCAACACTGGGAGTCAGAACTGACTCAATGACATTCAAAAACAAAACTGACTCGATTTTGGACTAATGCTGCGTGCCTACTCCTCCAAGACCTTTGAATTATCAACAAAGTACTTAACATCAAAACATACTCCTATTATGTTCCGCGAAGTGCACAGGCATTTACATCCTTTAACCTTCAATCACTCTGTGGTTTCATATTAATATCGCTGGACGACGGAGCTGAGATGGAGGAAACCAGGATTTACAAATAGGCATTCAAGACTACGAGGCCTTCACCACTACACTGCATTGCCACCCGCATTCTCTCCGTTAAAAGGAGTCGGGTCCAGAAACATCTTCAGTAGCACTCTTCTAAGTCTAGTCCCTGTTATAATGAATGTCCGTGGTCAACATACAGCTAGCTGTATAGCACAAGCCACTTAATATGGGGCCCTTCTAGTTTTAAGTTCCACCAAATGCTAAGGTGAGATCATGCGTGTGGCTCACCAAGGGGATTGGATTTGTTAGTGTTAAATGCCATCTTGTCAGTTCCGACTCACAGACACTCTAAATAGGGTTTCCAAGGAGCGGCTGGTAGGTCTGAACCGCCAACCTTATGGTTAGCAGCCCAGATGATTATCCTACAGCACCACAGAGTTCAGGGTAGACGGTGCGAGCTACCTGCCGCTGACCGGATCTTTCCGCAATCGCTACATGATTGGCACTCAAGGGAGTGGGAAGGCGGGACTTGCGACGGAAACCGTCCCGGGCGGGACGTACCAAAACGCCACGGGGAGGGGTTTCCCAAGACCAGGACCGCGTCACTACATCCTCAACCTGTGGCGAGGCCGAGGAACTCTTGAGTGCAGCCCTCGGCTCGCTGGTCGATAGTTGTGTTACCAAAGGCTTTCTCTACCCACAACCTCAGAGACTCTATCTTCGGTCCCTCGGACGAGTGAGAAGCCCCGGAAATGGGGCCGGACGGTACCTGGCCAACCACAGGGGAGTGTCCAGTCGCTCATGAACTCCTCTACGCCCCACACAAGCCCACCCACTCGTTTGCTGCCGTCGCTGTCGGAGTCCTTACCAGCTCTTTCGGCGGCTTCTCCTGGGTTTTTCCAAACAACCCCATGGCGAACTGAATTCGACTTGCCACTTCCCACTTTCCGTTCCCTACGCCCTGGCAGGTCACGGGCAGCCGCCTGGGCGGGGCGGCCAAGAGGAAGGGAGCCCAGGCACCCAGAGTAGCAGGGACGGCGATGCGCATGCGCGGAACGCACGCGCATAATTGGTCTGGGCGGGGTCCACAGAGAAGATTGACTCCGTCACGTACAATTTGAAGGAATTAAAGTCGATGAGGTGTTGATTGTCGTGAATTGTAAAGGCTCTTCTGGAGGATACGAATTTATTGCCTGTTTGTCAGGGGGCCGCAGCTGTTCCTTATGCTTCATCTAAAACTCTGTTTTTTGGAATATTTGTAACTATTTCTGGTATGGTGCTGTAGGTAGGATAAGCACTGAACTGCTTGCTAACCTATAAGGTTGGCGTCTCAAACCCACTCACTGCTCCTTGGTCGCTGAGTCGGAACCGACTCCGCAGCACGTAAAAACGTAATTATTCTGAACAGCTCTTACCTTTGTGCTCCATAAGGTTTTCAGTTTCTGTATTCTTACAGAAGTAGATTCCCAGGCCTTTCTTCCAAGGTACCTCTGGGTGGATTTAAAATTCCAACCTTTCAGAAGAAGCTGAGCCCTTAACTGAACCAACTTTGTTGTTATTAAGTGCCTTCGAGTTGGTTGCGACTAATAGGAACCCTGTAAAGCATTTACAAGGAGCAGCTGATAAGCTTGAACTGCTGACCTTGCGATTCAAACCGACTTTGCAGTCCAGTGCATTAGCCCACAGTGCTACACCAGAACGCCACTAAACCAATTTATTGTTGTTGTCCCGCAGAATGGCTGGTAGTTTCGAAATGCTGCTGCTGAGGTTAGCAGCCCAACTCGTAACCACTATGCTACCAGAGCTCCTTGCGGGCCACATAAGGCCAGTGAAATAATTTGGTCTGTCCCTGCCAAGGCAACCAGTTACAGCCACCAAATTGTTGTTGTTAAGTACCGTAAAGTCGGTTCCGACTCCTAGCGACCCTGTACAGGGTTTCTGAGGCTGTAAATCTTTACGGGGGAGGGGTGGGGAGGGCAGAAATCCTCAGCTTTCTCCCGTGGAGCTGGTAGTTTTGAACTGCTGACCCTGAGGTTAGCCCAATTTGGAACCACCATGCTAAACCAATTTAGGAGTGGAGAAAAAGATGTAAGGAACCTGTACTTAGTTGTGAAAGCTAAAAAGAGGTAATTGGCAGGGATATCTTTAACCATAAAAGCTTTTATTGTTATAGATGAAGGGTGGGAAGCTTTTTTCTGCCAAACTTTATAATGTCATTCAAGGGCCATACAACATTATCAAATTAAAAATTAGCCTGCTATATTTGGTCAAACATTTAATTAACTCACCCTATGAATTGGGCTGCTAACCTCAAGGTCAGAAGTTGGAAACTACCAGCTGTTCCGCAGGAGCAAGTAGAGACTTTCTGATCTCATAAAGATTTGCAGCCTTGGAAACCCTATGCAGGGTCACTATGAGTTGGAACTGACCCCACAGTCAACAATTTGGTGGCTGTAACTGGTTGCCTTGGCAAGGACAGACCAAATTATTTCACTGGCCTTATGTGGCCCGTAAGGAGCTCTGGTAGTGTAGTGGTTACGAGTTGGGCTGCTAACCTCAGCAGCAGCATTTCGAAACTACCAGCCATTCTGCGGGAGAATGATGAGGCTTTCTGCTTCCATAAGGATTTACAGCCTCAGAAACCCTATACAGGGTGGCTGTGAGTCAGAACTGACATCATGTGGCCCAGGGTGTGGTGCTGTGGGTTAATGCACCAGATTGTAAGTGGTTTGAGCTTCAAGGTCAGCAGTTCAAGTTCACCAGCACTTAACAACAACAATGTGGACCATGGGCCAGATGTTCCCCACACCTGTTATAAGGTAATGTTGTTGTTCTTGTGAAGTGCCATCAAGTCAGTTCCGACCCATAGCGACCCTATACAGGGTTTCTGAGGAGCAGCTGGTGAACTTGAACTGCCAACCTTGCAGTTCAAACGGCTTTGCAGTCTGGCGCATTAACCCACAGCACCACACCTGGACTCCATTATAAGGTAATAGAAAATATTATTAATACCTTTAATTACATTCCGGTATGAAGGGACTTCAAACAGTTTTTTAAGAAATCCATTACCTTTTAATTCTTTCATGAATTTTTTGAAGCCTTCTTGTAGACATAACTTTTTAAAGTTTTTATTGTGAATTGAGTGGTAGTGTACATGGATGAACATCGGTTTTACACTCATCCTATTGTATTTTGTTTCATTGCAATGATTACAATTCTCTCCATGCGTCATCATTCAGCTTCTATTCCCTCTGGCTTTTTGTTTTTATGTACACAGAAACACTCAGGAATATAAAAATATACAGTCATTTAAACAGCCAACCACAAGGCACATTCTGCCAGCCTGCCTCCTGGCTGCCAGAACACAGCCTTTCTCTTTCCATGAGTCTGGAGCCCTCAGATGCTCTATCTCTCCATGTCCTCATCTCTGCCTCCATCTCTGGTGTTGTTGCTTCTCTGGATAGGGTCCCACATTTCGCTTATGCCTTTCCCCCTTGATGGTCCTAGGGTCCTCTGTTCCTGGATTGTAAGGTTAACCACTCCCCCCTTTTTGTTACAGAACTTCTACCTTTACAGTTGTGACAATCGCAATTAGTCATGATAACAATCATCACTTTTGAATCATAAGAATCTTATACCCATCTCTTTGTATACATAATTTTGGTTGTGTATATTTTGGATCTTTTTTCTTCTTTTTATTGGGAACTGGGTGAAGGTTTATGTAGCAGATCAGTTTTTCATTCAGCAATTTCATACACATTTTGTTTCATCTCCTTGGCTGCACCCACACAATGAAACATCACTTCTCCCACTTCCTCCTGTGTTTCCTGTTTCCATTCCTCCTTCTTTCCTAACCCTTCAGAATTTTGTCCTTGGGTAAATGCTGCCCTTTTGAGCTCAAGCAGTTGACTATTCTAAGATGTATTGACCTCCCTATTGTTATTGTTCGCCTTTGTTGTTGTTTTCAAGTTCCATGGAGTCGGTTCCAACTCATAGTCACCCTGTACAGGGTTTCCAAGGCTGTAAATCTTTACGGGAGCAGAACATCTCATCTTTCTCCCATGGAACTGCTGGTAGTTTCCAACTGCTGACCTTGAGGTTGGCAGCCCGACTCATAACCTGAATATTGAGCCATGGAGGATTGTGGATCTTATCAAAGATTAACATTCTTATATAGGTGGAAAGATTGTTGTTATAAAATTGTGTAATGCTTGTGAAGGAGAGGAGAAGGTATCGCTTAATTAACACAATAAACTCTGAGCATGCTACAGAAAAAACCCATTAACAATTTAGTTAGCTGGTCAGCTGCCCAACCTTGCCCTAAGTTATCTACAGACAACTCATTTGTAACTAAGATATTGAAGCCCATCAGCCAACAATCACCAAGAACACACCTGTAGTCAACCAAAATTAGCATTGTCTAATTTGCTGCAGAGACATGCCTAAGAGAGCAACCATGGGGTGCCTTGGTATAAAGGAACCAAAAGAGTCTTTTTATAGGATTTGGGTTTTGATTGGGTGATTCTAAAGAGGGTTTCAGAGATGTAATGAATTTCTTAATGTGGCCCTTTTTAGCTGTAATCTTGTTGTTAGGTGCCATCGAGTCGGCACCAACCAATAGCGACCTTATGCACAGCAGAACGAAACACTGCCTGATCCTGGGCCAACCTCACCACCATTGCCACACTTGAGCCCACTGATGCTGCCACTTGGCCAATCCATCTAATTGGGGATCTTTCTCTTTTTCTCTGACTCTCCACCTTACCAAACATGATATCCTTCTCCAGCGACTGTTCCCTCCTGACAATATGTCTGAAGTATGAGAGACGAAGTTTGGTCATCTTGGCCTCCAGGGAGCACTCTGGCCGCACTTCTTCCAAAATGGATTTATTGGTTCTTTTGGTAGCC